ATTCCTGCTAGCACCAGCTGGGGAGCAAATCTCAGGAGCGCGTACGTGCACATCACAGCGCAACGCTGGGCGGACGCAAGCGCATTGGCTGCACAGAGAAAATTAGAAAGAATTAATAGTTAGCTGGCGATGAGATCCTCTGGGCATATTCATGTGAATGCAAACAGGCAATGATATCATGAAAATTAAAGAGTGCTTCATTTAATATATGTTTTCATGTAATTGTTTTACACTATATTTATTGGGAAAAAAAATACAGATTAGATTTTAAATTAAATATATTGTTCCCAGATTGCACAGGCATATATATATATATATAACGGGCAGGGAGATCCTTATCCTTAGGCATGCTTAACTGAGTAACTTGACTGGCAGGCCCAAGTGCACATTGTGCTTTGATCCCTATCTCTGTTCTGTAGCACTGTATATGATTGGGTCCACTTGCACTGTTGGGACATTTTTCAGCAAGAGTATCTTGCGCAATAATGAGTGCCTCTAACCCCCTTCAGCCTCTCCTTATTGCCGCCTAACCGTTCAGAAATGGCCAAGTAATTGCAAACAATGTTCAAAACCAGCTTGTGCTTATCAAGATGTCATTTCCTAGTTTTGGGTAGCAATGTTTCCAGTTTGAGCAGAGATGAAAATACAGGCGCATAGTACACAGAGTGAATCTGAGATTGGTTGCAGAGATTTCCCAACATGTTGAAGGTGACTGTAGCTGTATTAACACATTTGCATCAACACCATTTAGTACCGCCCATGATACTTTTTGTTAATTGGCACTAATAGTATAAACGTGTTGTAAACTCAGTGACTGGTCCTTTAATTGTTCTCGTTTACATAAAAATTTAACACCGTACCAAGTCAGGATGAAAAGTCACATTGGCATCCAACACTGTCAGTCTTTCCTAGGAAGCTGTAGTCTCCTTTGGAATCTGCCCACCTTTACACAACCTTGAACTGCCTAAAGATTTCATGCAACCATCATACATATACAGCACTGTATAAGGAGTGTATATACAAATTAATGGTTATATCATTTTACTACATCTGTACTAGTTTTATCCAATGGTACCATCCTTGCCAATACACTGTTTCCCATGGAGATGCATAAGCAAGGGGTGGTGCCTGTCAAGGTCTCATGTCATCCTCAGACACTGAGATCATCACCCAATCCTGACAAAATTGATAAGATTAGTGGGGTGTTTGGGTGCCTATAAATTTACTTGGAGAAAAACAGTGGGGGATATCCCAATCACTATTTTATTTGATCCTAATTGTATTGTGCGCCACCCTTATATATCTTATCTCGACGATCTCCTAACTATGGTACTCAGTTTACTTTTTTGTACCGTCCACTACAAGGATGGGCTATCACTAATTAGATCTCACTAATTAGCAGATAGTGGAAAGAATCCTTTGTCTGTAGTTGATGATGTGTCAGAAACATCACCTGAGTGAAGAGAATGGAGGATAACATCAGTGACATCTCACCACAGTAAAGGCTTTTAAAAAAATCAAAGGTATTCATATCCCCTCTTCTAAACCAATCACATTTCCACACCATATCATAAAAGAGGGGTTCTATTTATTACTAGAGGCACCATAGGCTGATTATGTATTAGAAAGTTGCTGGTGATAATAACAATGCAACCAAGGATCATGGGTGGTTAAAGGGTATATTAGATTGTAAGCCCTCAGGGGCAGGGCCCTCCTTACCATCTTGTCTTGAATTGTTTTGTGATTTAATGTCTTTCTTATATTGTAAAGCCCTGCGAAAACTGTTGGCGGTATATAAATCCTGTATAATAATATTATATATAAACCCTCACATATTTTTGCATATATCTACTGCTAGCAAGCAGTAGATATATGCAAAAACATTTTTAAAAAAGTTACCAAACAGGTTTAAACCTACCTGTATCTCCGCCGTGCACTCCCGTCCGAAGATTCTCAGGCAGCCGCAAAGGATCATGGGGTGGGTGCACATACTAAGTTGTATTGTGATTGTAGTCCATCACAGGAGCGAGCTTGGAGCGGTGACTACTTTAGAACACACACAGGGACCATGGGGAACACAAGTAGCCCCCCTCCAGAAGGAAGGACAGTGTCAGCACCAATTCAGAGATGATTTGAGGATCTACAGCTGGTGATACACAAATAAGATAAATTTTTGGTAATAGTTAAGGAACTTGAATGTATTTTTAAGATTTAGCTCCTGAGTTTAGTGTCACTTTAAGGGCAGATGACATGTAATATTATCAATTGTAAGGTCATGCATCTAGGCTCAGCTTATGGCATTGCCTTCCATACAAAAAAGCAGCACAGCTCAGTGCACGGATCCTCTCCTGAGCCCGTGTGAAAGGGGCCTTAACAGGTTTCACTTATAATAATAGGTTAGAAAAATGGAACTTGCTTACTTTGGAGAAAACGATTACTTAGAGGGGATCTCCTCTTGATCAGTATACACAAGGTAAATATAAACATCTGGAAATTAACTTGTTAGCCTTAGAACCATATAAATGACAAGAGGACATCAGCTACGCACACAGGAATGGAGATTTTACCATCAATATAGGAAGGTGCTCTGTACATTAAAGGTGATTAAACTGTGGAATGTCCGACCAAATAAATGAGTAATTACAAAAAAAAATTAAAACATTTTTAAAAAGGATATCAAAAGTTAGAATAATAAAATGGTAATAATAATAATAATAATATTTTTTTTCCAACATGTAGTATGCCATATTTGCCGAATATGTCAAGTGCTTCAGAGATTCAAGACAGATTTAGTTCTACATAAAGTGGACCCGCCACAGACACCCACCTTTCACAGACCCAAACAAATTTTCAGTTCACTGGATTTAGAAATAGTAAAATCCAGATAGGGTCACAAGGTAGTTGTCACTGGTGCCTTGTAGCATAGCGTGCTTGGGTTGAAATCCTACCAGGTAGGTCATTGAATGATGATTTTACACTTTTACCAGGGTGCTTGGGTTTCTGTGCTATACTGAGCTGCCATGTTAATATTAGGGAACCTTTAGGTCACATGGTCTATGAAATATTACTATGTTGTGCTGTTGCTGGAGCCTGATGTCCATGTTGGTAGAGTTTGATGACCATCTTGTGCATTTGTGTGTGTAGATTAATCTCTATTCTGTTGTAAGGTCTTCGTGGAAAACATTTGAAACCACCTTTAAAGTCTCTAACCAGAATCTACATTTTTAAGAGATGTCAGCGAGCCTAGAACAAGGTTCTATGAGGAGTCATGAGGACCACCAGACACATTACAATTTACCCACATAACCCCTGTACAATCAATGTTAGATAATAACAACCAGTCTCACTTGGGCTTGGATGTAGAGAGCTTTGGAGATCTATTGTGATGGCCCAATCTGAAAGACCCTTATCTCTCACAAAAAAACATTGTCTGACCTAGTTTGCCCATTTTTGATAGTTGTGGGCCTTGTCAGATGGTTCAGACCCAAACATGGCTAGATTATTGGTCAGTTATGACCTAATTTGTTCACAAATCCAGACATGTATAGGCATCCTTATGCAAGAAAGAATAAAAGAATAAAATTGAAAACTTGATTCGTCTTCCTCTAGGATTTTGCTGCCCTCAGCCTGGGTCTAAGTGGCCTACGGGTCCAGGTCTTCACCTACTTCCGGATATGTGTAAGCATGTGAGGTACAGAGTGTTTTGTTTAAATGTGTCGCTACCTGATGAAGACACATGCATAGTACAATCATCACTTTCTTTCTAGTGGACTTCTAAATCTCTGTAATAATATGGAGTACATACACCAGCCAAATTATATCAATTATATAAACTAAATTATTTACCTTTGTTATCATTCACTCAGGCCCGATTACAAACTTGGTCTTCTAAGAAGCATACATGGTTTGGTAGGATGTCTAGGATGTTCTTTAAGATGGACATCCTACCTAGATTTCTTTATCTTTATCAAACATTACCTATTAAGGTGCCTATGTCATTCTATAAAACCCTTAGATCTCTTATTTTACGATATACCGTATATGGGCAAGATCATCACCTAGGATATGCTATGATATTCTAACTCAACCAAAATCCTTGGGGGAAGTTGGTCTTCCGCATATGTACTTATATTATGTATTGGCGGTCCTAAGTAGACTATCAGATTGGTTTACACATTCAGACACTAAACTTTGGGTATATCTCTAGATCAGGACTTGTCCATGGTCCTTCTTGTGGTTCTTCCATGAATCCAAGCTAAGAGTAGACCCCCCTCATGGCGATTTCACTGCTAACACAGATTTTCTTGGGGATATGGAACCGGTCAATACAGAAATGTAATATTTCATCATACATGTGCCTTATGACCCCTATTTTAGGAAACAAGGATTTTCCTCCAGGTCTGGAGCCTATAAAAAAATGTTTATGTTGCAATCGTGAAAAGCCTTCTCCAATTGTACTGGGACTTACACCACAGGGACTTAAGTCCCTGGAAGATCTAGTGCCTACGATAGGGCATCTCCGTGGCCAATACTTCCAGCTTAGGTATTTCTACTCTTATCTATATTCGTTGAGTTCACCTACAAGATTCTTGACTCCATTTGAGGATTTTTACCTCAATGGTAACAATAGATCTCATATCATTTCACAACTTTATAATATCCTTATGTCCCATGCATTTCCCACCCGCCCCTATTTTCTAGGGGATTGAGAGATGGAGTTGGGGCACTCCGTTGAGGCATCTGACTGGGATAAGGCTTTTTTTTGTCTTTGAAAGCTGGTCTTGACTCTCAAACGCAAGAACGAAATTATAAGATTTTGACTAGATGGTACCGGTGCTCAGACCGCATAGTAAAATATACTCCCTCCTTGTCTGCCAATTATTAGCGGTGTGGTGTTGGTGTGGGAACCATGCTCCATGTTTGGTGGGAATGTGGCAGCCTGCGGGCTTATTGGCATGCTATATTTGAGATCTGTAAATTAGTCACAGGATATAGCTTACCTGAGATACCTGAAGTGGCTTTACTGTCAATAATCTCGGGGTCCGCCACAAGTGTTTAAGCAGGGTGTACTCCAATTTCTCCTCTCGCCAGGTCGAGCTCTTATTCCTAGGTTGTGGAAAACGTCCCGGGTACCCTCACTTAAAGAGGTGAATTATCTTATGCACATGGAGGAACTTTCCTCCATTGATAAATGGAGGATAAATTAAGTTAATTCGGCCTTTGAAAACGTTTGGGGAACATAGAAGGAATTTCTGGATTTTCTGGATTCGCCCCAATTATGTAGATATTTGAGTAAACTACAGCTTAGGTATTTGTTATTGAGGTGGTTTTTTTTTCTTTTTCTATATTTGTCTTGGTTTGTCTCCTTGTTGTTGTTTTATTTACTCCTTTTACTAGTATTTGGTAAAGTGAGTAAATAACATGGCGATGGTAGAGAAGCTATGATGAACCCGTGCCCTTTATAGTAGTTTATAGTCAGGGCCGAATTTACTCTCTCTGCTGCCCCAAGGCCAGGTTCCTCAATGCACCCCCCTGCCGGCCAACTTCCCCCCGCCCCAAAGGAGAATGGCAGACCTGCAGGCTACATACAAGTGATCTCGGCCACATCACTGTACATTTAGCTCTGCTTTCCCAAAGCAAGGCTAAATGTAGAAAACAACTACCTTCCGGCGCACCGAAACTGGATGTCGGCATATAGGAATTCCACACCCCTGCTGCCCCTCTACTCCCTGCTGCCCCGAGGCTGGGCCTTGGTTGGCCTTGTGGGAAATCTGGCCCTGTTTATAGTGCTTTTCTATGTGTCAAACTAGGATAGGACACTGGAAAATTTGGAAAATATTTTATTTTGTTTTGTGGATATGTAAGATATCTGGATTTACCATCAGCCATAAGTTGCCGGGGCTATTAGAGAGGTTCGCCTTGTTGTATTAGAAAGATATAATATATTATATGTTGAGTATTACTTTTTGTTGTGATTTATGAAGGCTTGTCTTATACGTATGTATAAAATGATACAAAATCTTATTCTACAAAAATTTTTTAAAACTTGATACTTCTTCCTGTAGGATTTTGCTGCTCTCAGCCCGGGTCTATGTGGCCTACAGGTCCAGGTCTTCACCTACTTTCAGATATGTGTGAGAATGTGAGGTACAAAGTGTTTTAAAGCCGGGAAAGAGTTAAACATTAAGTGTTGTGGCGCGCGGAGGAGAAACTCCACGCCTAATGATTTCGATAATTGCCTTCCCATTTCTCCCTGCTCTCTCCCTCGCTGTTATCCCCCCCTTCTCCTTCCTCACTTCTTCATTCTCCTTCTGCTCCCAGGCCTTCACAGCCCTATGTCTCCTCTCTACCTCTCACCTGCTATCTCTATTTAGCCCCCCTCCTCCAACACCGCTTACATCTCTTTCACTCTCTATTGCTCATCTCTCTTGTCTTTCTCCTTATATCTCCCCTTCTTATTCTCTCACTCTTCTCCCCCTTTTTTTCTTTTTTTTTTTTTCTTCTTGGCGGATTTGCAATTTCACTATAAAAGTGAGAATTCATTTCCAGGCTAATGCAGTGTCAGGCGGCTGTTTACTGAGCATGGATGATATATCGGGGACAGTGCATACAGAGGACTAGTTAATGATGCATTGAATTAAATCCTGACTCCTCAGCTGAGCTGTGCGCCTCCCCCTAGTTCTCAGGCTCCATTCTCTCTCCTCTCCCACAGCCTGGTCCTAGTCTCTTCCACTCTCACCATTAGGGGCGCTGCTTGACAATAAGGACACCCTCAAAGCCAGAAAGGGAAGCCTATGACATTACTATGGCTGATATATAAAACTGAAACAGGAGTAGAGACAGGAAGCTGAAGTGCAAAAGCTGGGTCCCCGATAGCAATATTAAAGATGGTGAACCCAATAATGTTGATTGTTATGTAGCAAGCACAAAAGGACCATGTTGCAACAGATATCAATAGTTTGCAAGGAGTTTAGACGGGAAGCAGAAATACCAAACCCTGGGTCCCCGATAGCAGTAATAAAGGTGTTGATTCTAAACATTTTGATTATTATGTAGCAAGCATGAAAGTCTCAAGTTGCAATAGTTATCAATAGTTTGCAAGGAGTTTAGACACGAAGCCAAAGTGCAAAACATTGGGTCCCTGACAGCAGTAATAAAGATGGTGAACCCAATAATGTTGATTGTTATGTAGCAAGCACAAAAGGACCATGTTGCCATAGATATCAATAGCAGGCAAGGACTTCAGACAGAAGCAGAAATGCAAAAACTGGGTCCCCAACAGCAACAGTACAGATGGCGAATCAAAGAATTATGATTATTATGTAGTTAGCATGAAAGGCTCAAGTTTCAATAGTTATCAATAGCGGGCAAGGAGTTCAGACTGGAAGCTGAAGTGCAAAATGCTGTGTCCCCAAAAGCAGTGATAGTGAAGACCTAATAATAATAAATGAGCCTAAAATGTTGATTATTATGTAGCAAGCACAAAAGTTTTTGTGAACACAGCACAATAAAACCACATTAAATAGTATTTATGACTCTAATCACATGGAGGGGGATTTATCAAAACTGGAGCAGATAAAATTTGGAGCAGCTGTGCACGGCAACCAATCAGCTTCTCTCTTTCATTTTCAAATCTTAACTGAACAAACTGAAGAGAGAAGCTGATTGGTTGCTATGTGTAGATGCTCCAGATAGTGTCTGCACCAGTTTTGATAAATTCCCCCCATTATGTTTTTGAAAAATAAAGAGTTATTTGCAATTTTTTCAAGTTGTATCCAGTGTTCATGCGAATGCAATGAGTGCGTAAATACACTGACTGCTGATAAGGTGGGCAGCATCTTTAAAGGAGAACTATGGGGTTAGGGCTTTTCCCAATAGTTCTCCTAAGGGTAACGGGAGGACACAAACTAGCGTCCTCCCGTCACCCAAAGCTCAGTATACCGCAAGCTACTGCTGCATGAGTGACAGCTGGCTCTGCCTATCTAGAGGCAGAGCCAGCTGTACCCGCCACCTCCCCCGTCCGTTCCGCCAGTCAGCGCTGGAGGATCGGACAGGGGAGGAGGGAATCCAGTCCCTCCCCTGTCACGGCTCTCTGCCGGCACAGGATCGAGAAGTGAGCGAGCAACGGTATGTGTTCGCTCACTTCCCGATCTACTGAGCTGACCTGTGACAGTTTCATTGTCACAGGTCGGCTCAGATTATGAGGCTGAGTGAAAATCACTCGCCTCATAATTCTCCTTTAATGAGGGCAAATGCTGGCCAATGCCAGCAATGAATGGGGCCAGTATGGGAGATAGCGGCACGCTGTACGTCAGCACGGTGTCCGGAAACTCCTATCAGCGACCCCAGGGACGCAAACTGAGCAGTCCAGCATGGGTCTCCTGTGCTTGCCATGGTCAGTTTGCAAAATGCAGAAAGAGGGACTGGCAGGCAAGGGCGTCCCAAGGCGGTGTCTCACCCGGAGCGGAGACCGGGTAACACCCCGCCGTGACGTCACCACACGCGTACGTGATGACGTCACCGCATGCATGCGCGATGACGTCATCGCGCATGTGCGACCATCTAATTGATGCCTGCCGGCAGCCACCTTGGTGATGGACGCCAGCAGAGAGAGGAGGGGACGTTCACCCAGCAGGCTGAGGTATGCCGCCAGGTCCCCCTCTCTCTCCTGACACTGTCGGGCTCTCGGTCCCTGACCGAGTGCCCGACTTTTAAGAGGGGGTGACACCAAAATGACTGTTAGTCATTTTGGTGTCACCCCACCAATGGTGGCACCTGGGTGCGGGCCGCACCCCCCTTGTGACGCCACTGCTGGCAGGATCACCAGGTATTTAGCAGAAGCACACAAATAAAAAGTCAAGGGACTACTTTATTAATCAGCATATGAATAACCAAATAGACATATCATTCTTGGGGTAACATACACTCTATTAGGTAGCAAGCACGACATGTCCAAGTTCAAACCGTCAATAATAGTAAGCTCCTTGAGGGCAGGGACTGATGTGAATGAAACGTATGTATATTTTTGCCGCTTTAAAAAAAAACCATTAAATAAATAAAATAGGAATGTTGCGCTGCCTCTCTGTGTAAGATTTCTGGACTGCTTATTTTGGATATAAAAGTTGTTTTTATTCGTATGGTCCAAGGTTTTCTAACTCTTAAAGCTGTGCGAGGACAATCTCAGCTCGCCATTTACTAGAGGCTGAAATTTGATTTTCCTAGTAGTCTTGCTAAACAGTAATAAGCATGTAAATGTGCATTGAGAACAGGTTTTACAACGATCACTAGACCATGAGGAATGGCAAGCCATTTGGTCCAATGTATCCAAGTTTGACTAATGTTCTGTCGGTTGAAGCTAATTACAAAGTACTTTTATGGTGGTACTTAGTCCCTTTCCGTATTTCAAAAGCAATCCCTTCTAATGCTGCAACTTGTTTCAGAGGATGTCCCTTGCCAGGCATCTTTGAACATACTGTATATGGTGGAAGTGCCCGATTGTACAAACCTTTTGGACCCGTGTGAACCCAGCAACATAAATAACTCTGGGATACAGACAGGGCCGGATTTACTCTCCCTGCTGCCCCAAGGCCAGGTTCTGCAATGCGCCACCCCCCCCTACCCATCAAAGGAGAATGGCAAACGGATGGCAGAGTTAGTTTTATTTTATTTTTTATTGTTTCTTTATTTTTTTTCTCTTTTTTCCCATTTTTTATTTATTTTTTAACTTTTTTTACATTTTTAGCTTATCGTTTACTTTTTATAATTTTGTTTATCTTATTATTGTTTATTTATTTTTTTATAATCATTTTCTTATTTTTTAATAATTTTTTTCTTATTATTTTTTACTTTTTAATCACCCTTTTATTTTATTTAATTATTATTTCTTATTATTTTTTAGATTTCTATAATTTATTGTTCACTTAACTTTATTGCTATCACACAGGAGCTAGCTAATAAGCCCCTGTGTTATAGCCTTTGGAGGTGACAGGTTCTCTTTATTGAATCTGTCACCTCCAATACGGGAGTTCTAGCACAGCACTGTGCCAGAACTCCTGTGACAGCTGAGAGAGGAAGAGCACAGCTCTCCCCTCTCACTGTCTACACGGAGCGGCAGGGTTAGTTTTAACCCTGCTGCTCTGCTCCCCACATCGGCGGCCAGTGAGGAGAGACTCGGTGGCCGGGGGGGGGGACGGAACCAGAGGAGAGAGGAGGACGGACAGGCTGCACACATTTTGCACGTGATCGCGCCGACATCGCCGCGATCACTTGTAAACAAACAAGCGGCTTCCCCCCACTACATTTAGTCCTGCCTTCCCGAAGCAGGATTAAATGTAGAAGGCAATTTACCGCCCGGCGCCCGGAACTTTATGTTTCGGGCGTCGGGGGATTCCACACCGCTGCCGCCCCTCTGTGCCCTGCCGCCCCGAGGCCTGGCCTCGGTGGCCTTGTGGGGAATCCGGGCCTGGATACAGATGGATCCATTAGAACCACCCCTCCATAAAAAAAACTAAAAACTGAATCCATGGATAATTGAAACAACCTTCAGAAGACAAAATCATACATTATGTAAAAAATTGCAAAGCATAGAAAGTGTCCATTGGTCAGTCTGATAATCTCTAGAGTGACGTGTTCAGAAACAATGATTGGGCCCCAGGTAAATGACCATCATTGCTGATCCATGTACATGATGAGGGCCACCTTAAGAGACACTCAATGGGGCTTTGCATTGCTGCTTGCTCTGATTCATATAGAGACAATGCTCTCCATCCTGTTCCCACATCCTGCCATATACAGAAAAAAAGATTTTTATGATGTGTCCTAAATTTGGATTCAAAACTACATTTTTGCTGTTTTTTTTTCTTAATATATAAAATAAACTTACGAAAGCCCTCTCTCTAGGTGACCCCACAATGTTCTGCATTCCCGGCAGCAGCAACTTACATGTAGGTGTTGTCATAGGTGTCTATCATGACGTGATAGCATCATGAACGTCTGACTTGTTATAGGCTTTTTTGGTAATTTGAGAGCCTGGTAGCTGAGGAGAATGCAAGTGGTGGCACCACCTAAGGACAGACCATTGTTGTAGGATCAATCAGTGTTCTTGAACTGGCTACACGCATTACATTCTGATTGTGCATTCACATTTAGATTTACCAACAGCAGTGTGGTGTAAGGGCCAACCTAAACAATCCATTCGTTGCAAGTAAGTCAGAGGCCACTTAGACCCGGATCTGTAGAAAGTCAGAGCGTTGTCACTCTAGGACAGGCCCTCACTGGGGATGGTCTCGATGTTAGAGTCCAACAACAGTTTGAATCGAACATCGGTAGTTTGCGTGTTCGGTGTTTGCCTGCAGAGCTCCCCACAAGGCACTGTGCACCGTAAAGTGCCGATTGAGAGCCCTGATTGGGTAAAGCAATGCCCCTGGTTGGGGGTCTCTTACCACCGCCACGCTCCAGCCTCCTCCACCAGCATAATTGCCGCCACCGGGCCTCCTCCTTCACTATCATCGCCACCGTGCTCCGGCCAATCGGCCACCTCTGCTGTTGGGCCCCCGGGCTTCACCATCACCGCCAGGTCCCGGCCTCCTCGACCAGCCCTGCCGCTGGGCCCCTGCCTCCTCCACCAGCGCCACTGTCGCTCCCAGGCTTCCTCCTCCTCCACCGCCGCCACCGGGACCTGGCCTCCTCCACTGATGCTGCTGCCTGTCACTAACTTAGCAGCGGCTGTGAGGAGGAACAGGTTGTCAGTGATCTGGACAGCGCCGCGTTCCTCCTCACACCTGCCAGTGACAGTCCTGGAGCCTGCAATGCCATAGTAACCCAGGCGGCCTGCACAGCATCAGAGGGACCCCTTTGTTCCTGTTCCTGGCTGGGCCCCCCTGTGCCTCATAGTTGCCGCCTGGGTCGCTATGGCGATAGTTCCGCCACTGAAGGCAATCATTTACAATATGGACTTACATATCCAGTTGAGGTTCAGGGCAATGTAGGCAATTTGGGTAGTTATAAAGGATATTGATATTTACAGATCTATACAAGAAAATGGAAGGAGGCTGAGCGCTAGGTCAGTGTTTTGATGCGATTTTAGCATTATTTTGATGCTTTTTTTCACCTTAAAATGGCCTTTCAGGTGCATTCCAGTGTGTTTGCATGTGTTTTTGATGCATTTTTATTCATTCGTTGCAATCAGGTGCAGCTAAAATGAGACAAGCAGTATTTTTTCTGACTGCATTGGAACTGACCGCACTGCTGTGAACAGAGCAGGAAGCATTGTGACGAGATTTTAATGCAACTGCAAATCGGAACGGACTGCATCCGAACTGCGTCTGGTCTGAACTGGCCATCAATTGTAAAGGACATTACAACAGAAGTGATCTGGGTCCAAAGGAAGTCGGGTTGGGAATTCTATTTTCTGTCGCTTTTATCATCCTGGGCAGCACGAGAAGACATTTTTATTGTGTCATGGCAACGATCAGTTTCAAATGGGAATGAAAGGGCAACATAGTTTTACTTGCTGCATGTTCAATAATTGGCTATGCTTGGGTTAGTGCATGTGAGCATTGGGATCAGTGTGAGGTCAGACGTCAGGCAGAGGTCAGTTTGAATGTACATATTAATTTTTAATTTTGGATCTATACACCAGCCGGGTCCTGATTTTGTCTCCAATCATTGAATGTACATTGTTCCAAAAACTTCAAATTCAGAATTTACACACTGCATTCCACGTGTGTGAAAAATACTTTGAATACTTACGCCAGCAGCAGAATATAAATTCCCATGTATACTACAAAGGGATGTAGAATGTCCATATAGAGTGCTCCCATCCAGCACCTGGAGGCGGGATTTAGGGGTTTAGTTACAAAACTTTTCTCAGAGCGAACAGCTCTGCGAATGTCTGTGTTTTAGATTTAAATCACACTATGGCCAGTAGATGGAGCCGAGGAGCATAGGAATTTCCTACGCTCCGCGGCTCCATCTGGTAGCCATAATACGCTGAAAATCTAAAACTTACAGGGTTATTCACTTAGCTGCCGAAGGAAGCCGAGTGAATAACCAAGCTGAAGTGAACAGAGCCGAACGACGTTCGGCTATTCACTCCGGCTCAGTACGGCTGATTTCAAACATAGATGTTCGGCTGAGCCAAAGTGCTGAGGGGCGTCAACAAAATCCGGATTGGCTGAGCCAAAGCTCCGGCAGCTCACTCGCTGCCGTTTGCCCCTATTCTCATAGGCATTTGGCTCGGCTATTCTGCTCGGTACCTCCGAGGTACCGAGCAGAATAGGAAATAAGTGCAAAGAATGAAGAAAGAAAGAAAAAGGTTGATAAATAAAAATTATTTTAAAAATTATAAAAAACAGGGAAATTAAAAAATATGTATATTTTAAAGAAAAGGAAAAAAATAATAATTGGGTAGAGCTAGCGGTGACAGCTAGCTCCACCCAATTGTTTCCTATTGGCCGTACCTGCCAGAGTGTTCCAGCAGGTCCCGGCCAATGCAGAACAACTGGGCGGAGCCGGCCGTTGTTATTTTTTAATGACAGGTCAGCGTCCCCAGGTCATTTGGGGACGCTAATCTGTCATTACAACTGGGCGGAGCCAGCCGTGAGATCACGGCTGGCTCCGCCCATCTGTCAATTGTGTGGAGAACGGCCAGCCGCTTCGGCTGTCACTTCGGCTCAGTCTCGGCTGAGCCGCTCGGCTGCCTTAGGCTGCTGTACGGGCTATACTGAATAGCCCGTACAGCAGCCCTTCGGTTCGACTGAACCAAAGGGCTCCGGCGGCCATAGCGAGCCAAAGGATCAACCGAAGCTACGGCTGGATCCTTTGTCTCTTAAGGCTGGGTTAGTGAGTAACCCCCTGTTCCCTCTGCAAACGTTTTATAAACGCATGTCGTACAATGTATGTAAGCCGTAACAATGAACATTTGTCTCCCTTCTGGTCTGTTATATACAGTGGAAAGTGTTTTGTTATAACTGTTTAATAAATGTTGATCCTTCCAGAAATCCAGTAAGCTACTAACTTCCTGTACACTCAGCACCTGGGGCAATGAAAGCAGTGCTATAAGCTCTCCCTAGTTTACCTCAAGAACTACAGAGCACCTTTCCCTCCACATGCATGTGGCTGTCAGAGTCTTGCAGTGCAATTTGTAGTTCCACACTGAGGTTGCCTACCCCTGACCTAGAGTGACAATGCTGCTGCTCCTAGATACAGCACAGCAAGTGAGCGTTGTCACCCTTAGACAGGAAACGTGTGACTGGCAAGATCAACAGGGGAAAATTAAGGAGAAGAAGGCTGAAAAAAGAAAAGGAATGCAGTTGTCACATCAAAGGGCTGATGACATGCAGAATTTGTATGAGACAGAAGCAATCCTGACAGAATACTTATATAAAAGAATATACAATGTACTACGGTTAAATTTTCATGCGTTTTCCCACATTATGCATTTTTGTTTTGCCCAATGAAGATGAAATAAAGTTTAAGTTGCTAGGGGGTGGGGGTTGTTGACATGCACTAAAACACCTGCAAATGCTTGTTAGGTGCATTTTTCATGCACTCCCATCCAAGTCTATTGGGCTAAAAACACACCAAAAAAGCACCTGCACTATTTCCCAAGTCGCACAGAAGTGTGAACAAGCCACGTAGAAAATAAAGGGATTCCTTTTGCCGCGCTATGGCTGAAGCGCTTCAAATGGCGCGGGTGTGAGCAGAGAGTTTGTGTTTTAGGCTGGAATTTCACTTACGCATTTACCTCCTGATACATTTTCCTTTAAGCTCAATGGAAGAACATCAAACACACGTCAACGCACATTAACTTGCTTTGTAGCGCCTTTTTCCACCAGCATTGCAATGTAGTTTGTATTGGAGACCAAGATGCGCCATAAGGCTCATCATATCACGTGCGTCATGGTGTGACTATGTTCATGCGTTGAGATGTGTCTCCATTGTTGTCAATAGAAAACGCATCAGTCAAAAACACAAAGATGTGAGTCCAGATTTATGTTTCTATCCATGAGACTGATATGTGGACGATCAGGGGTGGGCAACCTCCTGTTGTGGAACTACAAGTCCCATGAGGCATTGCAAGACTGACAGTTACAGGCATGACTCCCAGAGGCATGCTGGAATTTGTAGTTGAAGCACAGCTGGGGGTCCGAAGTTGCCCTGGTCTAGATATTATACATCTGTCGTCTGAAGTGTCAATGTACTTGACATACATACTGTATATAGGGGCATGGAATGGTTGGTGCCATATAAACCTTGTATAATAATAACAATAATCATAAAAATAATATAATAATAACAATAATCATAAAAATAATATAATAATATTAATACAAATAATAATAAATAATATTGTTAAAA